CCCACTGCACCAGCTAGCATCATGTGCTCTTCTTTCCCATCAGAAATGATTCCAAAAGCGTGCCATTCCGACATGGGGAAGGACTAATCCGACCTAATATCCCCGGCTTTACTCCTCCGGTGAACTTAATGATCGACGCATGGCCTGATGGGGCTGAGACTTTGACGGCAACCCGCCTCACAGTCACCCATGGGATGATGATTAGTATGGTTATGATCAAGGTTAACCAGAATTCTTGTTCTTTAACCAATCTTGATCCTACATCTTTCCTGTAAGATCTGGTCTCAGGTTCATAAGTTTTTGTGAGCAAGATAAATGCCCAGAGGAGAATCAAGGAAGCCCAACCCGTGAACCTGTGAGTTCTTTCAAACACATTATGATGGAGGTGGCGGATGAGAGGGAACGCCGCCAGACAACACAGACAAAGCAGGGAAAGAATTGCTGAAGCCACCCCAATTATCGCGTTCGAAGTGTTGTCTCTGTCTTTCAGAGTAAGAACTAAAGAATAGGTAAGCCAAGCGACGGATGAAACCCCACAACTACTATGTATCCCACCTAAAGATTGAAGTAAAGAGGTGGTAGCCGTTTTGAGACGTAGAGGCACCCAAGAATGGCCGAAGAGGTTGACAGCAAGCCAGAAGACAATGCGTAAGAAGGCTTCACTTCGACATAGTGTTAGAGCCAAAAGGTTTCCGATTGAGAAAAGAGTGGCATGGTTTCTTGCGTATGGAAAACGACCCATAGCTGCAAGAACTAACCCTGTAATGTTCAGAGTCAAACAAACCATAAAGAGTCTCTTATAAACCGTAAACAAGCCTTGATCGAGCAAGATGACAGACAATCTCGACTCGTTCTGTTTTGTTGGCTTGGAAACAATCTTTTTGCTCGGAGCTTGGGGGAGTTCTGGAACTGGAAATGTTAAAGGCAACTTGTTGTTGTCTTCTAATTCGTAGCCTTCTTCTATGTTGATCAGTACGTTGTCATCATCTTCATCATCAGTCTCTAAGTCGCAGAAATGGCTACTGGCTCGACTGGTGGACCTGGAAATAATGTTGGAACCAGAAGTTGGTACGATTCTTTTTGAAGATCCCCATGGAAGCCAAACTCGTCGACTAGCTCGAGGTGCATCAATAGCGAATGGATCCTTATGGGGTTGGATCTCAAAGGAAACACCACGACAGCTTGAAAACCTTTGATCCATGGTTTCTTTTTGCATTACTAGCTATCTCTTTTGTTGGCAATTCTTTGAAATGAAAGGAGGAAGAGAACTGTTTGTGGTCTGTCTGCATTGTGCAAAATATTTCTATATTTATAGATGGGGATATCGGTTGAAATGTACAACATCGAATCGTCAATGAATCGCTTTTTCGTATGTAATTCATCGAAAAGGTGTAAAGTCTACGGTTTTGTTTCACTAGCGGACTTCGTCAATGCAAATACACATAAGTATATTCCGCTCTAAGCCTCTTAACCCGTATAAAATATATTCAAGTAACCTGATATGTATCTTTATGAAGATTCGATTATCATAAAAACAAGCTTTTGAAGGCAAACGCTCTAATAATAAAATTTTGAATTATAAAAGCACGCGAACTTCCATGCATACGTATAGGTCAATATAGCTAATATCTTTCACTTTTTATAAATGATTTTTACTGTTTTTATACAATATTGAACTTTCGATTTAATACATGTCCCGAACTAATTATATCTAGCTACAATAGCTCCTTAAAAAAAAAGAACTTCTTCCGACTAATATTGTTCATCGTATCTAGACATTAGACAGAATTAATGTGTCTGTAAACTCTTGTTAATTTTATGAGATTTTATAATTAAGAAATTTTCTAAACTATTTACTTTTAGACGAGACAATAAAGGGTAAAAACTATGGTAATTAATCTATGAAGGTGACTTCAAATAATTTCTAAAAATGTTATATTTTCATTTGACCCAATATAAATAGTAGTAGAGTTGACATTATCGATGGGTTATGTACACACTCATCTATGATACACTTGGGACGCTTTCTACATGTTAATATTCTTTTGACTTTGTCCAATCATTACTAGAAAACAAGGTGTTTTGCTACAAAAAGCGGAAATTTTGGTACAATTTTGGTACCTAATTACCTATGGATTTTGATGCCTACGGAATAACAACGAAAATGAATCTGTAGCTATTCTGTAAGTAATTATCTAATGAATAGCTACGTATTAACGACGGAAGAACATCCGTAGATATTTTGTAAGTAATAATTACAGAATAGCTACACATTACCAACGGAAAAGATTAGCTACGGTATACCAATGGATTTATTATTATTATTATTATCATTATTATCATCATCATCATCATCATCATCATCATCATCATCATCATCATTATTATTATTATTATTATTATTCCTAATATTATAAGTTTTCATTAATATTCGTTTTAAAACTTTTTTTGAATCATTTTTTTTACATATTTAAAACACGAAAAATTAAAAATCATACTAATAATAATATCTTTAAACATAACGATAATACATAATAACGGTAACGAATATATTTAACACACAAACGATAAAACGAAAAAAAACCACGCTTAACATATCAATAAAATGAAATAATCTACGTTTAATGTATAAATAATGAAAAATGATTATAATTAGAGGAAATATGTAAACTTGTATATGTATGTATGTATTTATGTATGTATGTGCATGTATGTATGTATTTATGTATGTAAGTTTGTGTATGTGTATATTTATGTGTGTGTATATATGTATGTATGTGTATATATATGTATGTATTTGAATGTGTGTAAGTATATATATATATATATATATATATATATATATATATATATATATGTGTGTGTGTGTGTATGTGTCTATATGTATGATTATCAAAAATCACAAGTATTAATAGAAATTACAATGTTAAATCATGAAACTAGTAATGGATCCCTAAGGTGTACATGTCATTATGAATGATATTAATAGCTATAAATTTGTGAGAGTATACAGGGCCGGTCCATTGATTTTCAATGTCCGGTGCGAGATTCTAAATTAATGTCTTTATTTATTAAAAAATAGCAAAAATGAAATAAAATTTATGCTCAAACCAAAAACAAGGTTATACACATAAAAGCATACATGAAATTCATCTAAAATGATGCCTCCTTGCATTTTTTGAAGCAAAAACATTTATTATTTTATCATAATCAAGATTTCGTGAGAATTGACTTTCAATACTCAAAATTGCTAAGCCATTTATTACAAGGATTCCGTGCATATAAAGAACGCTGAAATCCGAGTTATAACGAAGTAGTTATGACTTGTCGAAGTTTCGTGACAAAACCGACACGACACAGCGCGACGTAAATAGTGAATTTACAATAGAGCGATATTTGGCCATAGAGATCTAAACGAAATTCATAGAATACGTTAAACTGTGAGCGTGCATAAAAAGAACGTCCAAATCTGAATTCGTATGAGGAAGTTATGATTTTCTGAAGTTTCGACTTAGCAGTATGCAACCCGAATACTCGATCTGAGATTAAACGGTTTTTAGCTGAAACAATCTAAACAAGAATAGAAGATCTCGTTAATAGTAGTGAAACGATAAAAGAAATGCGAAAACGGATGTCGGATGAAGAAGACATGAATTTATAACAGAGTTTTCCTATCCCGACCTACTAAAAATAATATATAAGTAATATATTTATAATATATTAAAAATAAAGTCAAAATTAGCCAACGGAGTCTAAACGAGAGTTTTAGATCATAATCTCACCTACGCGTCGATATAAACAACGTTGAAAACGGAGTTCGTATGCGAATGTTTTGAATTTCTGAAGTTCGGGGTGCGAAACCCCAAAACTATCAGCTACCACGACGTGGCAAGCAGTGTCACGACGTGGCAAGTCTTCTGACACCTCTTGGAGTCCTCCAGACGCAACTTGCGATGACACATGCAGTGACGACCAAGCCCACAACGTGGAAAAAGGTGTCATGACGCGGCAAGGGTATAATTTGCCCTATAAATAGATTTGAAGGGCCAGCCATTTAGGGTTGTTCCAACTCCTCTCTCTCACTCCCGATACCCTCTATAGTCATCCCGAAGTACCCTGAAGCCCCGGTTTCATCCCGAGACCCGAATCAAGTCCCAAAGCCCGAAGATCCCGAGAAGTGAGATTCTCGAGCCGAAGCTCTGCCCGCGAGAAGCCCGATTTTTGTGAAGATCTTCTAGATCTCCCGAAGAATACTACTTCTACAAGCCGTAGTGCTGTCCAATCATCTTCTGATGAAGTGAGTGTGTGATCACTTTCTTCTAACACATAAATATTAAGTATTTCCTATAAAATACGTGCTATGTGTATAATATAAAGTTGTTTATATGTGTGAGTGTATAGTCCCTTTCATAACATGATTTTAATACAAGTATTGTTCGAATGTATTAAGTATATGTTTTGTGTGAGTATATAGTTACTTTCTTCTAACGTATAAATATGAATTTTTGCTTGAAATACATGGTATGTGTTTATGAACTGTTGTTTATTTGAGATAAGTGTGGAATGGATGTTTTATATGGTTTTTAAATGAGTTAAACTGTATATGTATTTTATATCTACTAATATGTTGGGTAGAACATAGGTAGATAAGATAGTTGGTATGTGATAAAATGATGAGGTATGTAAGATGATTAAAGAATAATATTGATAGATGCACCAATTAGAGAATGTCATAATACTATCAGATGCACTTAAGAATAATATTGGTAGAAGCACCAAATGGAGAATATCATAATACTAGCAGATGTGCTTATGGGATAATCCTGGAAAATGCACTTATAGGAAAATGTCGGTAGATGTGCCTAAAAGAGAATGTCATAAACCTGGCAGTCGCACCTCATAGTGTATGACGTAATCCTGGCAGAGGCGCTTAAATGATGATGTTGGTAGATGCGCCTTATGTAGCAATAGATTTTGTGCCAATTCCTTAGGTTAATCCTTAGGAATGAATGGATGACGGGTAGTTGAATTCTTAGGGTAAAATCCTAAGAAATAAAGAAGATAATGGGGATGGGTAATTGGGTTGATTGTTTGATGGTTGAATATAATAATTATATTATTGTGGGTCGAAAACCGTATATGCTTACCAGGCTCCCAAGCCTGACCCACTCAATTTTCTTTGTATCACAGGTATCACTACGAAGACATATTTCACTGAGAGATTAAAAGAGATGTAAATCATTAGTGTAAATAAAAGTAAGTTTTGTTTATGCTTATGTGTCTGTATCGAAACATGACATCCCGAGATTTTGTTATATAATGAAAGTACATTTCTTTAAAGGAATGCTTTGATAAATTCTTATCATATTTTGTTTTGGGAACAAATTCCGCAACTGTTTTCTTTAAAATATTACTCTGATTTTAAAAACAAAGCATAAACAAATCGGTCTTTTCTGGCCGTGGAATTGGGGCTGTCACAGTTGATGTGAGAGCATTAGTTTAAGCGAACTAGTAATTTGTTGGAAATTTCTAGACTTAAACTTAGAATGCTAAGTAATGGTTTTGAGGAGTGTGTCTAAAATATCTTAGGTAGTACATCTAAATTGACAGAAGGGCTAGTTTATTTTAGGAATGATGCCTAAAATGCTTTTATGTGCTAAATGTTTTGTGTGATAGCTAAATTGATGTTATTATTTTTTCGGATCTATGGTTTGTTGCCGACCGGATCTAGAAACCTTATGTGTTTAGGATTCTAAGCGTACGACCACGATATTAGAACTAACATGTAAACGTTTCTGAGTGATAAGGATGACTTAATTATCTATCGTGATTGAGGATCTGAATTCACTATATTTGGTGTGTAGGTCAAAATGGTAAGAACCAGAAGTGGAATTGGAAATGCAAATGAAAACAGAAATCAACCACCAGTGATTGAGCGAATAAATGTTGTAGCTGCTGCACCCGAGCCAATAATGATGACTGGTGTACAAATGATGATTCAAACAATGTTGGATCGTCAGATGGAAGAAACGAGACGTCTGCTTAGGTAGAATTGTGAAGAACTTTCAATTCAATTAGAAGAGCCCGAAGTGAATGGAGGGCATTCAGAGGGAGGTAACTTCAGTGGGACTATTGGTCAAGCCAACCCACCATTAGTTAGACAAAACCATCAGGAGGGAGGAATTGATGGACTTGGATGCA